TCACCTCGCTCACCCGGACCCTGACCATATCCAAAAACGATGACTCGGGCATACCCATTGCCAGTGCTCAGCTGGAGGACGTCTCTGAGCTTCTGGGTGGTGCTCTGTTTCTGCCTCTGTTCAAATGGATGAACCAGTACGGTCCAATTTACAGGCTTGCAGCTGGGCCTAGAAACTTCGTGGTGGTCAGTGACCCTGCTATTGCTAAGCATGTGCTGAGGAATTATGGCAAGTATGCGAAGGGTCTTGTTGCTGAGGTCTCTGAGTTTTTGTTTGGTTCTGGTTTTGCAATCGCTGAAGGCCCACTTTGGACGGTAATGCTATTCAATTTATTGTTGAAACAAAACAAAATATATAAAAATAATTGAAATTATATTGGTGTAGATTGTTCTAGCATACATAGCTCTATTTTTGTGTTTTGTATATGGTTGTTGGTTTGTTATAATTGGATATGGATGGTGCTTTGTTAATAATGTGGCACCTATTTTTTGGCTCAGATAACTAGGTACCTTTACTGTATGTATACCAATTAGTATTTCATGATTGTTTCAAATTTTTCTTATTTTTCTTATTCTTATATTTTGGATGGGAAGGAGAAACAAAATAAAGATAAAGTATTTTCGTAATTTTATTCCAATTAGTATTTCATGATTGTTTCAAAATTTTCTTATTCTTTAAACCTTAATGGAATCATTAATTTGTGTAAAATAAAAAATAAAAAAAATCACCCACTTTTCATGACTTTATCGTAAGAAGGTGAAAGCATATGAACTTAGCAACATCACACATACTTTTCGTGATTCTACTCTAAGGAAATGAAAATATATGAATGTAGTTATATATAACGAGGTGAAGATATAAGATTGCATGCATATTACATTATTATGATATGAGAAATTGAAGTGATTTACATTCAACAATTTAATTGGGAGATGAGATATTGGAGTGAACTAAATTGAAGAGTTGAGTTGGTAGTTGGCCACAATCATGTCATCCTGTAATTCGTTTTGGTTAGGACTACAAAATTTCCCAATCGCCACTACATACGGTTTTGGATTGTTCTATCAGAGCACGTATTTTGTTAACATAGTCACACAACTCAGTTGCACTGAAGCATGGTGAAATAATTATTAATCCATTTTCTCTTCTTTAGAACGATGGTTATTAGTTGTTATAATTAGATATGTATGGTGCTTTGTTAATAATGTAGCACCTATACCTTATGTTTAGAATGTGTGAAAATTGGGTAGGAGAAACTAAAGAAAATAAAATAAAAGTAAAGTACTTTATTAATTGTATTCCAAGTGTTTATGGATACAAATTTTATTAATGTTATTCCATTTGTTTCTGGATATAACTTTTATCAAGAAGGGGACACATTGATAGAGAAGAAGAGAAAGCGTGTAGTGAGCTGTTTTCTTTCTTGACGAAACCAAATCTTACATTATGGATTGATTGCCTTGTTAGACTTTTTTTTTTTTTTTTTTTGCGTTTCCAGAGGGACTCTATATAGTCTAGAATTCACTGTTACCCGAGTAGTACATGGAACTATGAAATTTGGTCTCAGTAATGCTTCACGCATGTTATCATAGTTTTCACTCATCAAGCTTTCAACATGTGACACTAAATAGATGAAAGCTGGATATGTCTCAGTTGGTTGTTTTCCCCATCTCATCTGTGCATAATATATGATTCATAGTAGGCTAGACGCAGGGCTGTGGTGCCATCTCTTCACAAGAAGTACTTGTCGGTGATAGTTGATCGGGTATTTTGCAAATGTGCTGAGAGATTAGTGGAGAAGCTACAATCTGATGCACTTAATGGAACAGCTGTAAACATGGAGGATAGATTTTCTCAACTAACTCTTGATGTTATAGGCCTTTCTTTATTCAACTACAATTTTGATTCTCTTAATGCTTATAGCCCTGTTATTGAGGCTGTTTACACTGCATTGAAAGAGGCGGAGCTTCGCTCTACTGTCTCAAGTCTCCTAATCCTCTGCTGATGTATATATATATTGGGTTTTGATCCTAGTTAGTGATGTCGTTTTTTGGTTGTTGCAGGTTAGTGCTTTCCGTAAGATAATCCCAAGACAAATAAAAGCTGAAAAAGCAGTTTCAGTGATCAGGAGTTCTGTTGAAGAACTTATTGCTAAGTGCAAAGAAATTGTGGAAGCTGAGGGTGAGAGAATTGATGAGGAAGAATATATAAATGACACTGATCCAAGCATCCTTCGCTTTTTGCTTGCAAGTAGAGAAGAGGTCAGCATATACTAGCGTTCATCATGATAACTGTTCTCTTATAAATTTAGAATCCACAGTTAGAGTGGTTTATTTTTGTTTGGAATGTCAGCTACTTTGCTTGAATAAATGTTTATGCTTTGACAGAATTAAGGTTCATGTTGAATAGGAGAACACTATTTTGTTATTTAAAAAGAACATTCATCTTCTCACATGGTAACAGTTCTATGAATGCAAACTAGTGAGAACACCTGCAGATGCATATGCCGAAAATACTCATCTCATTCTGCTTTGACTAGTTAATACTCTGATTTCAATTTGAAGGGGTGATTTGTAATTACACTCAACTTTGAGACTGCCTTCAATAAAGTTGAATAAGTCATTTCCTAAATTGTGAGCATCAAAAGTTAAAAACGAAGGTTGTTGTGAATTCCTTATTCCTTTATCATTGCAAGCAGTTGTTAGCTTAGTTTGAAATCTAATTTTTATGTGTAAGTGAGCCTATGCTTGCTTATACTGATCTTCTGTATATCTGCTTCTAAATGTTCGTTCGAGGAAGACTGAAGATGTTGTTTATTAATCTATAAAAGTAAAGACTAGCACGCTATATATTTTGGTTCTAAAGTGAAGACTGAGGACTGAAGACACAATACTTTTCAGGTATCGAGCGAGCAATTACGAGATGATCTTCTGTCTATGTTGGTTGCTGGACATGAGACAACTGGTTCAGTGTTGACTTGGACACTTTATCTTCTAAGTAAGGTACCCTTTCCTTGTATCATACAAGTAGGTTACTGAGGTATCAATTACGTTGCTCTACTCTTCATGTATTTGATTATTTTCTTAATGCAGAATTCCCACTCATTGGTGAAAGCACAAGAAGAAGTTGATACAGTTTTACAGGGACGGCGTCCTTCCTACGATGATATAAAAAATCTAAAGTTCTTGACACGCTGTATTATGGAATCATTGCGTCTCTTTCCACATCCTCCTGTAGGCTATAGTGCTTCTCTTCCATTTATGCGAACTGCAGTGCAGTTAAGAAAAAATTGAAATCCATGTATAATATAAGTTCATATCGACTCATTTTTTTCTGGTGGTTCCACTGCTTTAATTTATTTAGGTTTTAATAAGAAGAGCTCAAGTTGCTGATGTGCTCCCAGGGAATTACAAAGTCAATGCTGGTCAAGATATCATGATCTCAGTATACAATATCCATCATTCTTCAGAGGTATCACCTTATGTTAAGTTTGGAAAAACTTTCTGTTATTTTTTGAATTTCACATTTCCTTCCTCTTGATTCTAGATTCCATCTAAACTTTGTCTTTGTGCTTCCACTCTAAAATATGAGGTTTATTGAAACTGAAAAACGAAAGTACATAATCACTGGACAATTTATCCAGACCAGCAATCCAACGATGGAAACAGAACATTGAAGAAAAAAGAAACTGAAATGTGAATTTGTTTCACTTCTTTCCTTGGCAATTAAAAGTGTATTTGGTGTGCATTTTTCTAATGATTTTACAAGGTGTGGGAAAGAGCAGAAGAATTTTTACCCGAAAGATTTGATTTGGAAGGCTCTGTGCCTAATGAAACAAACACAGATTTCAGGTACTTTTAATCTATGCCCTTTTCGAGATGTAGTAGCTGCTACATTTATCTCTGGACTTTTTCCTCCTTGGTGTTCTAGCTCATATAGGTTCTTTCCTTGCATTTTTCCATTTAGCATTAATTTGTGGTTAAACAAAATTATCTACTGTAGATTCATTCCGTTCAGTGGAGGGCCTCGAAAGTGTGTCGGTGATCAGTTTGCTTTACTGGAAGCTATTGTTGCTCTGGCCATCTTCATTCAGCACCTCAACTTTGAGCTGGTTCCAGATCAGAACATCAGCATGACAACAGGAGCAACAATTCACACTACAAATGTAACGTTTCTAAACTCACATGCAAAAACTTTATTACACAGATTCCATAAAATTCAAGTCAGGATAAGAAATATTCGTATCACATAGTGTACTGACACATATTTCCTTAATGTATAAAATCAATGAAACTAACCGTCACATTATTCATCAAATGTGACGGGATCCATGTGGGACGTTAATGTAATTAGATGCCATCTCTGTGACATGTGATGTTATCAGTATGTGGTACATATAACATCACTCATACAAAATGCTTCTCTTTGGCCTGTCTGTGACTGTTTGTGATCTAATCACAATCCTTGTAATAATTAACATGGTTTTCAAGCAAATGAGAGGACAAAGAGGAAGAAGTTTTATTTTAAATCAATAAAAAGGATGGACTTGCCTCTTCAGGAATTGCATAGGGTCTCCTAACAGTGTGCTGTTTGTTGCAGGGTTTGTTTATGAAATTGAGCCAACGGCAAGCAAAACCAGCATTCGCAACTTCATCTTCTTCAACCTCTTAGCATCTTGTTACTTAAACAATGCGTGAGATTGATAGGAGAATCCTAGTGTCCTTTAGAAATGCAAAGAGTCTGTACAAGTATTGATTATCAAAATGAACTAATGATGTTTAGAAAGAAAGGAAAAAGAGAGTGCCAGAGAGAGAGAGAGAGAGAGAGAGAGAGAGAGAGAGAAGCGCAAGAAAGACTGGTGTTTGTTTATTGCACTTTGAAACCTTATTTATTTCTAACAAAGATGAGATTTATCTAATATGTCACATTACTAAATAATCAAAATTAACATCGGAGAAGAAATTAGGAACTGGCGCATTTCAAATAATGTTCAATGTTTATAAGATAAAATATCATTTGTTTTAGACCATTAAAGAAGTTGTTGTCAAGAATGATCTTTTTGTTGTGCGCGGCAGAAGTGGATTGCACGGGATGGTGGATGTGAAACCATTGAAACAATAAGAGGAAAATATGAAATACAAAAATCCAAACGACAACAAGGATTTATATTGGTTCAGTTCATGTATAGTCTACATCCAGTTAGAAGATAGCTAGAAATTCCTATAGTATCCCAAAAGAGATTACAACCAAATGAGATTAACCCTCTCAACTATTCTAGGAATTACAGAGTTTAACTCTCACAACCCAAATCCCAATTACACCCAAGTCACTCTCAAGCTAACCACACACGAGCCAAGAACACCAAGAAGTTCTAGCTCGCTAGGAAAGAACACACTAAGAACAATACAAAGAAATAAACCTCCGACAAACACAAGGAACAAATGAAGCTCAGGCTTGATCTTCCCTCAACATCTTGTG